GTCCCCATCCTGGGCTGCGCCCCCTGCCTTGCCACACCAGGGCTGGCCCCCTGCTGTCCCCTCCCCAAACCCCAACAAGGGCTGCTCTGCCCCGGGACAGGCTCTGCCCAGCTCCAGCTCCCCGGGGAGGCTCGGGGCTGCGCGGGGCAGCCGGGCACGTTGGGGAGGGGCGCGGGTCTCGGGCCCTTTGTCGTCTGCCTGGAGCCGACGAGCAGGTTAATTCCACGGCCCTTGGTGTCTCAAAAGTCGTCTGTGAGACCCACTCGCGTTTTCTCTGCCAATCTGCTGCGGTCTGAAATGCATTTCGGTTCCACCCTATTGATGTTAACTTCTCGTAATTTGTTTTCAAAACATCCGAACTCCTGCTCCTGACGTGACTGGAGGATTTCTGCAGACTCTTTCAGATGGGAAGCAATTCATTTCCACTGGGTGCTCGGATCGAACATGACGAGAGAGGGCGAGGAGGGAAAATGGGCAGCAAAGTGTGGTTTCAGAGTCCCATTATTTTGCCAGCAGCCCAAGGAGCAGCTTATGCTGATGGAGCGTGGTGGATCAGTCTGGGGATCCTCACTGGGGCTGATGGGATTAATGAGGGAAATTTTCACCAGCAGAAGCAGCGCATCCCATTTATTGCAATAAATAAACCTGGAAATGGGTGAAACTGGTTTAAAATAGGAGGTTGGATGGATTCTTCTGGATGAGAGGAGCTTTGGCTGGGTGATGGACCGGCCCGTAATTGGGTTTTGATCACTGTGTGCCTTGGGGAGGGGGCGTGCGCGGCAGAGAAAATCTTGCTGTTTTTTTTCTTACTATTGGCTATTTACTGACTTTTTTTCCACTTCAAGTTTTTACCGCTTCATAATTTGATGGACTCTCTGTTCAAGCTCTTGGCGGCTTCCCCCGATGCTGCTTGTGCCCTGAGGGTGCCAAACCGGGGCGCAGCGCGGGGGTGAAAGGTGGCGAAGGGCGATGTGTGGCTCAGCCATCACAAACCCCTCGAACTGGGTTCCTCGAGGCGACTGGGTGGTGAGGGAAGTAGCTGTGTTACCTGTTAGACTCAGGGTTCCTAAATACTTTTAGATTCTGGCTAGCAGCTTTCTGCATCATTTGGCTCCTGAATCTCTTTCCAGGGTTGCAGTGGGAGCCCCAGGATAATGCACAAGCATTTGGTTTTGACTGTCGGCCGTGGCGAGGTAGAAGCATTGCAGATCCACGTTTTCCTTTATCCTGCTTGTGTCCTCTCCCTCGTGCAGGTGATGCTGGCGGAGAGGAAGGGCACGGACGAGCTCTACGCCGTGAAGATCTTGAAGAAGGACGTCGTTATCCAGGACGACGACGTGGAGTGCACGATGGTTGAAAAGCGCGTCCTGGCTCTCTCCGGGAAGCCTCCCTTCCTGACCCAGCTCCACTCCTGCTTTCAGACGATGGTAAGTGCCGGTGCCGCAGCCTGTCCCCGGGCAAAGGGGACCATGCCGGACCCTGGACGTTGAGCGGGAGGAGGCTGGCCCTTTGCAAAAGAGATTTTAGTCGCTTGGCTTCACTGGTGAGTTTGTGGCCAGAAACTCTCTTCTAGAGACCCAGTGTCACCAGTTATCTGGCACCAGTGCCTTTTTGGGTGGGTGGCTGCAGGGTGCACGGGAGCTGTGTGGACAGAACTGTAGGGGCTTTTGCCCTGATCACGTATTTTAGCTTCTCTAAAACGTACCTTTGCTTGTATTCGTGTTTAGACATCACTACGCTTGCAGAAGCAGCCATGTATGTTCTGCCTTGGCAACCTCACAACTTGTCCAATTTGCTCGCAGAAGTGCCTCCGTGAACAAAAGGGGAGGGTGTTAAATGGAGGCGGTAAGGTACAAGCTCTGCACCCCTGAGGTTTTTTTATCAGGGAGCTGTCGAATGGTGTCAGCCGTGATTTCCCAGCCCCTGACATCCGTTACGATTCAATAGCAAAGCGCTGTGCTTTTTCTCAGGGTTCATTCTTGTGGTCAAAAAACCTGAGTAGAGAGTGAAACCTAATACAAACCACAGCAATTCAGTTTGAGATGGGCACGAGATGGAGTTTGTACAGATCAGAAGCGGAGAGTGGGAGCGGGGAAGGGGACAGAGGACCTTTAAGGCAATCCCTGCCCACCCATCAAGCAACCTGTGAATGAAAATGTCCAGGTACGCATCAGCAGGAGCAGGCAGAGGGAATCGGCAGAGTCCTTTAGAACGATGACAATGCTATCCAGGAGGATTACTTTTTAATATTATCCCAGAAATTTCATTTACCAAACACATTCAGCGTATTTAAAGCCTTGCGGACTGTCTTTGCAGCACAGCAATCAAAATGTGGCAGGAGAAGCTGTTTCACACGGCATCTCTCTGGCATCTGAAGTGAGTCAGCGCAGGATTATTCCTGGCAGACCTATAGTAGCTTAATAGTAATCGTATTTGTAATGTAATCAAAATGTATAGCAGGGTCTATTATCGAATGCTGGCACAAAGCACTTTGATTTCTGGGAGCACAGTCCCGAGCACGCTTCTGAGATGGGGCTGTTCGTTCAGCGAGTGGTGGGAGAGAAAAAAGCCCCAAATCTGCATTTTAAAGAAAAAGCGAAGATGAGCAATCAGAGTGCTCCTGCCGGGGTCTGAAGGGCGCGAAGCCCTGCGCTGGTCCGGCTGAGCGATCTAGGGGTGCTCTGCCCCAAAAAGGTCCTGGGTCAGAGCCTTGGCTCCCGGCAGCGGGGGTGTCCCCGGGTGTCCCCAGGTCAGCCGTGCCTTCGCCTCCCTCTGGGGCTCCGCGGGGAAGGGCGCAGCAGCAGCAGTGGCACTGAGACATGATAAACAGCAGCGGATGGAGCTGTGCTGCCGTCCTGGCTCTGGCTCTTGCTCACAGGGGGGAGTCAGGCAGGAGATGGGCCAAACGGGTGGTTAATTAGAAGGAGGACATTGGAAGGAGCCCCAGGAGTTGCATCTCAGCTACCCAGGGAAGGGGGCAGGTGTTTCACCAGCTCCGTGCACGTCTCTGCAGAGGGTATTTGTGTATCGGTGACTTGCTGTGGCTCAGTGCGTTCTGGATGCTCCAGACTTGGACAGGCCCCATCCTTTTCTGCTGTAGACAAGAGCCAGGACAGCTTTCCGTATCCATCCCTCTCCCAGCCTGTAGGCTGGCCAGCCATCTGGCTGCTTTATTCGTGACATTTTTTTTCTCTGAAGCACCAGCGTTCTCTTCTCCACCCAAATGAGGAAAGCTCAGATCCTGCTTTCAGAGCTCAGCTGGCTGTTTCAAGTGACCATCTTTTTGATATTCTTCCTTCTTGAAGCTGATCGATATATTTAGGAAACAGCTGCAGACGAGCACAGGGTTGCTTTGCTTCGCAGCTACTGTCACAGGGTGACTGGCGTGGCAGCGGCTGCTGAAGGTGACTTTGCCCCGTGAGTTGCTGCTGAGCTGGGTTGATGCCTCGGCAGAGGCAGTCGTTTACAGAGGGGGATGCTCCGAAATTCCCAGTCGTCTGATAAGCCGAAATCTCTTTTCTGTCCCATCAGGGCCACGTGTTTTACACACCCTGATTGCCCCTTCGGTACCGTATTTAATTCCTTTGAGGCTGCCCCGCTGTCAGGGCGGGCTGTGCGTCACCGGGCTGTGCCGGGCCGGAGGAGCTGATTACCCTCTGTAGCCCTTAGCGTGGTGGTGATCACATTGACGTATCTTCTGGGCTCCTTGTCCTTACTGTCTGAAAAGCAGGGCAAGGTTTATTTAAGGAGGAAATGAAGAAATGGGGAATACTATGAATTACTGTGCCATACTGCGACCCTGAAGCTCTGGCGGTGCTCCAGCCTCCTCCGTGTCTTTCCTTCGTGGTCTAGGGCTGGGGCGAGCCCAGGGGTGTCCGTGGGCTCCTGTGCGTCGCGGCCCCACGACTGGGTTTTGGAGGCTGTAGAAAGTCGCTCGTGGCAAGGAGGGTGACTCGGGCCTGATGTCAGGCAGCGTTTGGCTGTTCTCACCCGCCGCTGGCACGTGCGCGGGTCGGAGCACAGACGTCTGCTGGCGGGGAAGAGCCGCTGGGACGGCAGGCTGTGTCCCACTCCCGCACGCACTCCCGTGGTCCGGAGCCGTTGCTTCTCCATCCCTGAGAAACGTCCTGCAGCGCTTTAGGTTGGTGGTTTTGGCAATCTCGCACGATTTTCTTCACAGCTGTTTCCCGTGGTAAAAAAGAGCTGTGAAACGTCGGGGGAAAGTGGCGTTTCAAGGGCTTGGACTCCCCAGGGTAAAGGGGTCAGTGGTGTGGAGCTGCTGCTGGCCCACATCTTGTGTCTCCCAGGGCTTGCAGGGCTCGTGCTAGAGCTCCGTTCGAGACGCAGCATGATAACATCCAGCTGCTTTTGCTTTATCGATCCACGGTTCTGGGCTTTGTGGGAATGTTCGGGTCTTGTTTCTTGCCTTGCTGCTCTCCTGGGTGTTGATCGCGGCCCAGGCTTTCTCAAGTTTCTAGCAGTGTTTGGGAGACGGGGCTTCCACCCAGCAGGAGTGGTGCTCGCACTGAGTGCAGGAGCCGTGCTGGGTGTACGACCCCCGCGCCAGCTCCAGGGCAGGGCACGGTGCAAGCCCCCGCCTGCCCCAGCGCGCGGCTTGGCTCTCCCTGGGGCCGGGGCACGTCGCTTCGGAAGCCTCCTTGGGAGTTTCTTAGGTCTGCACCTATGTGGCTGCCGCGCTGGGGAAGGGGAGGGGTGCTTTAATCTGGGGAGTCTTAATTAATGAAAGCAAAGCGCCTATTACACGTTAGAAGCGAAGGCAGCGTGTGCTTACAGCCGGCTGGGATCACACCTACTAGCGAGCATTTTAATGGATTCAAAGTCAGTGATGGACCTGTTTGTTCTACTCTTAACAATTAATTAATTAACCACGTGTGGACTTGAAGTGCACCCTCAGAGCAGGCTGGGAGGAGCGAGGAGAGAGGATGCAGTCTCCTCCCAATCCCCTGCCTTGACCAGGGGCTGCTCTGGGGAGCCGGGAACGTCGCACGTCGCTCCTGGTGCTTGGCCAAATGGTGCTGGTCACGGCCTGCGCGCGGAGGCTGGTCCCTGGAGGAGCTGCTCGCCTCTCTGGTGCATCTCTTCGTTGAAGCCGGGCAGTGCCTGGGGAAATACCAGCAAGGAGCTGTCTGCTCTAATGCCCTGCGAAACAGCTTCCTTGGAGAATGGGAGCAGATTTATTGATGGGAAGTGAAAAACCCCCGGATTAGGAATTCCTCTGCTTGCTTTCTCCATCGGCTCTGCGCGCGAAGGTGCAGAGCTTAAGCCCTGAGGGTTGCAAAGGAATTAGTGCATCTGTCTTGTGGACTCCGGCTGAACACGAGCTCCACCTGCACCCCTTGGGGAGGGTCATGATGAGAGTTGTATTGCCGTGAAAAATACAGACTGGAGCCGTCAGTTGCCTTGGTCCTTATGTCTGACCCCTGCAGGTTCCCTGCTCTAATAATTCTGCTGCTAACTGGTTCCTTGTTTTCTTTAGGATCGCTTGTATTTTGTGATGGAGTACGTGAACGGTGGGGACTTAATGTACCAGATCCAGCAGGTTGGGAGGTTTAAAGAGCCACATGCTGTGTAAGTTCAGTAGCCCTAGTGTGGCACCTTCAGGGTAGGTATTTGATGTACCTTTGTCCTATAGCTGGAACTGCAGTCCAAGCCACAGGGTTTTGCAGTGTGAGTCCCAGGCAGAAAGGGAGGGGAAAGGAAGGACACCAGGAATCAGAAGATGCAGAGTGATTCCTTGCCTGGTGCCAAGGATGCTGGTGCCCCCGGCCCATCTTTGGGATACATTGCACTTGTGGGTGGATGAATAATTGACCTCTGTAAAGGCACCAGGCAGGGAGGTTTGGAGACTTCCTGGGAGACACCAGCAGCAGGCAGCGAGCTCCCAGCCGCTGTGCTGCCAGCTCACCTCTGTTCTGCCCCGTGCCCTTCCCCGGGGTGTAAGAGGGGCGTTGGGTCTGGCTCCTCTACTGGGGTTGCCAACCCGAGTGTTAGCTGGTGGCTTTTGGCTCCTGCTCCCTGTAATCTGGACAGAGCAGGATGTGTCTGTGAAAGCCTTCATACGCTTAAATAAACAGCACAAACAGTGAGCAGAGCCCGGGCGGGTTTGAGCTGGTGGTTTGCGCTCAGGCGGAGTCCTCTGAGACCCAGAGTATCCTTTATGAGAGCGGTGGCGGTGCATGTAGCTCCTCGGCCTCCCCAAGATGACAGATACCTTTTCAAGCCGCATTGCCGGCGCACAGGAACGAACAGCCGTAGATCCCAGCTCTCGCTTAATGAGAATTTGTGTAACGAGAAGTGACGGCCCCTGCTAGCCCACAGCACCCTGATCGCATCGCTGCCCGATACGAGCGGAGGGCGGGTTGTGTCCTTCTCGTGTGATGCTTGTCTGGTGGTTTTGTGTTGTGGCTGGCTGTATCCTGTGGTCATGTAGGCCCAATGTGTTTTGTTCGGTGCGATTGGATTTGAAAGGTTTTCGTTTTGATTCACCTGCTTTAATTATCGTTCTTCCTTGTAAATGTTTCATTTCAGATTCTACGCAGCAGAAATAGCCATCGGCCTCTTCTTCCTGCAGAGCAAAGGCATCATTTATCGGTAGGTGAGCAAGTTCCTCCTTCCTCTGTTGCCCTGAGAGCTCCAGCCACAGCCAGAGCGATGTGACGGCCGGGATGCTCAGCAGGGCTCCTGCAGCCCCGCTCTGCCCCGCACCGCCCGGCCGCGGGGCTCTCCTCCCTGCCCGTGCCACGAGGGGCTCTGGCAGCTGCCCGCCGGGTACGCACGCCCGGAAGGGAGCCAGGAGCCTCGTGGTGTTGCTGGGCTTTGAGAAGGTTCCTGCCTTGGTGCCCGTTTCATGGGAAGGCAGCTTTGGTTCCTCTCATGCCCGTTTCATGCGTTTCTCTCCAGACGCCGCAAGTGCTCGCTGGCAGCACGGACCAGCTCTGAGCCACGTATTTCGCTGCAGGGCACCATTTTCTTACCGTTGGCACTGGAGTCAACGCTTGCGAGTGGCTTATGCTGAGATCTGCAGTGCAAGTCTGTCACTTCTGGTTCAGACACTGAAACTTCTTTTCCATTCGCAGTATGATAATATGTCCAGAGCTAGCTGGGTTACTGCCGAGGGCTGGACTGGGCTCCGAGGCTGCTGGTTAAGCACTGAAACTACTGTACTGCCGTTCCCTGCTCGGGAGTATTCCCAGAGCCCAAGGTAGAGCAGAGCATCCTAATGAGTGTCAGATACCATTAGCTGCTGTGCAAAAAGAAACGCCAGCCGCGCCACTGGAGGTACGGGATGCTGAAGACTGTTCCGAAGATGAAAGTGGAGCAAACCTGACGCGAGGGATGTTTTTTGCCATCAGCCGCTACAGAGAAATTCTAGGTCTGCCGGTCCCTCGTGCCCCTTCTTCCTTCCCTCCTTCCTCTGAATCTGAATCCAGGCTCGTGTCCGTCTGCCTGTGGCCCATCAGGGTTCTCAGCGCTGACACAATAATTGGGAACAACAGTCTTAGAAAACAGCAAGAGGTTGTCAATGGTGCTGTTCCTTCTGTGGGGCTCTGACTCGCCACAGTTCAGCCTCCTGCCCCGTGCAGCCCCCAGCTCTGCCCAGCCGGCTGTTGGCAGTGGGGTGCTTCAGGGTGGGTCCCCAAGAAGAGGGCTCACCCAGCCGCCGCCTGCCCGTCGCGGTTGCTCTTCCGCTGCGGACGAGGCGCGGAGCTGGGCAGAGCTGCAGAGAGCCGAAGCGGGCGCGCAGGGCCCAGCCCAGGCCTGCCGCAGCGTGCTGCTCTGCCGCCTGCCGGGGAACTTCATGTCACCCCCGGGCAAGGGAGAAGTGGCAGACGTGCTCCCCTACTGAAACCGAGACCTTTGGGTGATGCTTTACTGCATGGAGCATAAGCCAGGAATGGCGAATACGGCGTGTTTGCTGCAAAACCGTCCTTCGGGCTGGAGCACCCGCCTCTGGAGGGGCTGATCGGGGCTGGGAGTCGCTTCGGGAGCTCTGCAGCTGGAACTGTCTCCACAGTTTGTGCTTAAGAGCAAAGCTCCTGCAGGGCTGGGTGTAACTAACAGGCATTCTGTGGACGAGGATCAGAGAGAAACATGGCTGATCTGTATTTCCGTGGGGGAGCATAGCATAGGTGATGCAGGGACCTCTGCTGAGCAGGTACTTCTTCATTGCTGGTGAGCTTTAAGGACACTTTGATTTTCAGAGACACACACAAAAAAAAAATCTATTAAATCTGTCTCCCTGCTAGATGAGTGTTTTCCATTGTGCACTTAAAAGCGATTTGCCCAGCATGGTGTTCCTGTGGGTTAAAAGCAAAACAAACACTTCATCCTGACAGATCTCTGACTTCTTTTTTACTCATTTCCCCAGACATTATCCTACAAAGAGTCCGGGTGTGAGACGAAGCCGGAGCTCACTCGCAGGAGAGCACCTGGAGTCAGGAAACTTGTGTCTTTGCTGGGTGGCTTCACGGGTGTCTTTTGTGTCATTGTTCTCCTTTCTCTTTGTAGAGACCTAAAGCTGGACAACGTGATGCTGGATAGCGAGGGGCACATCAAGATCGCCGACTTCGGCATGTGCAAGGAGAACATCTGGGACGGGGTGACTACCAAGACCTTCTGCGGCACGCCAGACTACATTGCGCCTGAGGTAGGGGATGCAGAAAGGCATCGCGGGCGCTCCGTCCGCGTTTCGGCAGCCTGTCTGGTGCTCTCTGCCGTGGGGTGACCTTGCTTTGGGCAGCTTTCTGATTGAAACGGGGACGTTCACGAATTCGCTGTCAGCCTGGAAAGTTCATCCTCTCAGCACTGCCCGTCCCCCCCAAAGGCGGCCTTTAAGGAAGCAGCGATGCCCGATCTGCCTCTGGCTGCCCGCCCTGCTTCTGCCTCTAAGTACAGAAAATCCTCCGTGCTGGTCTCCCTGCGGCGTGTTTTCCCTCTCTGGGCGTTTTTCCCATGTCCGTGCCGCTGGCGTCGCCGTGCCCGTCCGAGCCTTGGCACGCTCGGCCCCTCCAGGGCTGCTCCTCACACGCTTCCTGGCTCCTGGAGAAGATGAGCCCGGGAGCTCGGCTCTGCCCCTCGCCGTGTGTGACAGCTGCTTCCAGCACAACGTGACCGGTGGGAAAAGCAGATTTATCAGTGGGTGATATTTCCATGTCAAGTGGAAATCTTTAGATCACTCGAGCTTGCTCCTTGCAGCGAAGGGCTGTGTGCCTGATGAGGAGAGGCTCCCTATCTACAGCTCTAGATCACTCCAAAATTGCTTTGCATTTGGTTATTACTTACGTGATGGAGTCACGTGTGACACTTAGACGAAGCGCTATATGGGTGCAATTTAACGTCAGGCTTGTGAAATTCAGGTAGGTAATTATTCCCAAATGTCTGTTCCCTTAACATGAAAATATCCCTCTAAAATCTTCTCACTCTGCTGAATTTTCAATGATGACATTAATATTTATTCATTTGAATATTTTAGAGAAAGAGGTTCTCTTTGCGAGGACATAGGTGTGCTTGTGTGCTAGGCTGCATTGTGTTTTGCTGCAGCCAGAGAGGTTTTTAATTACCCCTTCAAATGTGCGTTACGGATCCTCATCCTGCCGAGATTAATACTGGTGTTCTGTTGGTGCAGAGCTCCGTTGCTGGGTGTGATTAACGCCCTTTCAAAGCAGGACAAATGACCAGTTCCCTTGGTGTTCGCCTGAGCACGATCACTTAAGCTCTTGTTTGCTTCTCCTCGCTCTAATTTTTTGTTTTCCCAAAAGAAAAACAGAAAATGGGAAATTCAGTGCCCAGGAATGGTATTAAAGCCTGCGACCGGTGGGTCTCAAAGCACGAATAGACGCATCCCCTGCGTGGCAAGCAGAAGGGGGGAGACAGTTCTGGCGCAGTGTCCTGCCGGGTGGCCAAGCCCGAGGCAGAGCTGGGGTCCCTGCGTGTAGCTCGGCTCCAGGGCCCTTCTGCTGGGCCGTGCTCCCTCCTGTTAGGGAGCTGCAGTGTTCTCAAGCCAACATGTCTTCGGGGTAAAAATGTCCTGTGATTTGCTTGACCCATTTTAAGGGCTTTTTCTATTCTGAGGTACAGCTCTGCGTGCCAAGGTGACAGGTACTGAGTGCGAATGACCCCGCGTGTGTGATTTCCTCTGAACAAAACAAGTTCTTCAGCTGTTGGGTTTTGACCTTCCCGAACGTGCAGTTGGCAACTTCAGTTTACAGAGACGGCTTTTCTGCAAGGATTTCTTCTAAGTGCCATTTTCTTTTAAAGGCCTTTGTGGTGTGAACAGCTCACACCTCGATTTCCCAGAGCACTCGTAAAAAAGAAGAAGGGGGAGGAACGGCAAGTGGGCTCAGTCGAGGAATTTCAGAGCTGAAACTTGACATCTGATCTCGGTGGGAAGGGTCAGGCCTGACCGCAGGACGCCGTCAAGGCGGTGGGGGTTCTGTCACCGCGTTTGGACGTGTGGCTGGACCAGGACCAGGACAGAAGAGGAGGCTGGCGTCGGTCTTGTTCTCTCATCGTGCCTCGGTGCCGACGATTGCAAGATGGAGCTCGTCTTCTCGGGTGGGGTGGCAGCGCCTGACCTGCATCTTGATGTTCTTCCTGGTGGGATCCCGTTGGACGCTGCGGAGGTTTTCTGCAAGGGCAGGGGCGGCAGGACAGGAGGACTCTGGAGGTCGCAGGCTCCCGCCACCGAGCTGCAGGGCTGGAGCCTTGCTCGGGAGCAGGGCGAGGAACAGCAGGAGCAGACCTCTGGGGCCGGATTGCTGTGTACATTCTCCCGCAATTAGCATGCGATTTGCATTTGTACTCAAGTATAGGAATCTTTGCCGAATAGAATTCTGTAATTAGGAAGAATAAATTGCGTAGTTGTTTTGCCTTAAGTAACAGATGGCAAAGCCCGAGGCCTGGCAAACCCCGAACGCCGAGATGGCGCCCGTCAGCACCACCCAGCACATGAACCGGAGCTTGAAAGACCCTTCAGAGCAGAAAGGTGCCAGCGGGAGCCCGGCTCTCCCTGGGCTGGAGCCACCACTGCTCCCCTCAGAGGGACCCCTGTGCTGAAGGGAAGGAGGGGGGACGCTGGCTTCGGGCAGCAGCCCCTGGCCCAGGGTGCGGACCCGACGTCCTGCGGCGCGCTGGAGCCAAGGGACACGGCCAGCCGGGCAGCGGAGGGGCCCCGGGACTCTGCTGGGGCTGGGTCCGTTTCTCCACCAGCCACTTGTCCTGGTTGTCCGGGGGGTCTCGGCAGCGAGGTTCAGCTGGAGATACCCCGAACCGCCGGCACGCACCGGGGAGGTCGCTTGCTCTGCAGAGGCAGGTGAGCTGGGTGGCCTTGCTGCAGGGCTGTGTGGTTATGAAGTTTAGGGTATTTTAGATTTTACAGTATAAATTGTGGAAAAATACAAAAATTCGTGTTTTGGTGCCTTATCCAAAATAAATGTTGATATTTTTAAACTAAAATAAAAACCGAACCAAACCCTAAAGTTATATCCTAACTCCAAAACCACCACATTGCTCAGGTAAGGGTCGAGCCGGCGGTTATTAGCTTATTGTGCGAAGGTTGTTCTGCAATAAATAATGGAAAGCAAACTGGCAGCCTGGATTGCAGAGGGTTTTGGCGACCCATATGCTGCAAGTCTGTTTTAGAGGACCGCGAACCATCCACGGAGGGCCACCCTCTGTGGTGTTATTTCAAACCAGCTGCACTGAAGTCAGTGGAAGAAAAATCCCGAAGTGCATCAGGGTCGGCAAGAACGGCTGCTGCTCCTGCTCCCACGCGCCCGGCTGTGCCGAGTCTGCAAGGGCACAACAAATACGCTGAAGTTTCGTCTGAATCAGAATGAATCTGTTTGAAATCCCAGTGAATATTCTGTGTTTTTCTAATATCTAGTGCACATTTGAGCGCTGATGATTTTTTTTTTTTTTAAGTTACTGAACCCTTTGCCTATCATGTGTTTGGTTTATAATTGCAATTTCTCACCATTCAGGGCCTCAGTAAGTAGCCTCGTCCTTTTGACCTGGACTACAGCTTGAAATCAGTTTGCGTGGTGCCAACAGGTTGAAAACGGGAGCGTAACCCTGCTGTTTGTGTTGTTTTCAGATAATTGCTTATCAGCCCTATGGGAAGTCCGTGGATTGGTGGGCGTTTGGAGTCCTGCTCTATGAAATGTTAGCTGGCCAGGTAATTGGATTTTAATTGATTCCTATGGGACTGTGTGAAATTCCATCGTGAGCACAGGCTGATGTGTTGTTTGGTTGGTTGCTGGCACGCGGCGCGGGGCCGCGGGGCCGTCTCCTCGGTGCTGGGGGTGAAGCCGTGGCCGCGGCCCTGGGGACTGCGATGCTGAGACACGAGCCACCGCGCGGTGCAGCTGGGGCTGGTTTCATGGCTGAGGACCACAGTGAGAAGTGGAAGCTCAGAGATCCAAGAAACGCCACTGAACCTCTGCTTGCTTTGCTGTAGGCTCCCTTTGAGGGGGAAGATGAAGACGAGCTCTTCCAGTCCATCATGGAGCACAACGTAGCCTACCCCAAGTCCATGTCCAAGGAGGCAGTGGCCATCTGCAAAGGGGTAAGGGCTGGCCCTCGGCTCTGGGCGGGAGGGAGAAGTGCAGGCGGTGGGCACGGGGCTCTCTGTGCACCTCCAGCCGTCCTACACGCGCGGGGGCTCTCGCCCTCCCCGCCCTGGTCCGGGCCGCAGGCTCCCAGCGCGAGGGGAATCTGACCAGTCGTGTCCTGCTGCCCGTGCTGCCCGCCCGTAGAACCCCAACTTGTGCTGCTTCGTGTGCATGTGCTGAAACCGCTTTAAAATAACCCCCAGATCCTTTCTGGGCCGTCACGCTACCCTGAGCAGAAGTACCGGTAGGTCTTGAGGGCTGGTGTGTCTTTGCTCAGGTGAAGGTCAGGAGAAACCGGAGTGTTGGGTGGGGTGTGGGAGCTGAGGGCGTCTGCCCAGAGACCCTCCCCACCGTCGGGTGACGACAGGGGAGCTTTATGCATCTTTGCCTGAAAAGAAAAATAATGCCTAGATAAAACGAACGTGATTTCTAAAGAGTTTCCCCAAGATGAGACACCAGTCCTTCGAACTGCAGAGGTTTCCCTTTAGCTCTGCTGAGTCGCCCTTTAGGGGCACCTGAAGTCCGGTGCTGGTGTGCCTCCCTGTCGGGTCAGGGCAGTATTTTCGTTATTGTATCTCCCAATTTGCAGTGGAGCTCTGCGTTGCCCAGTGTCCTGAGCTCTCTACGGACTGGGCCTAGGCAAGACTTAAATGCAGCCTGAATGAATTTGGGTTGTGGTGAATAAAGGCTGGCAAGGTCCTGGTGTTATTGCTCGGGACCGAGCCTCATCTCAGCCAGCCAGTGCCAAACAGCGCTATAAATATGTGTTTGTGTAGGAATTTAAAAAATGTTTGCTTTTAATAGTTAATATTTAAAATATCTGAATGTTCTGTGTCTCAGAATAGCGTTTCTATCGACAAATGACACATCTTGCGCTTAACGCTCCCACTGCGGCATTTCAAAGCCTCTTTCCAGTGTTGCCAGGATTCGGAGCTGGTGCTAAGGAGCAGTATCCACTTGTCCCGTGGGGAAGAGCTGCTGCCTGTGTCCCCCACCTGGAGCGGGGCACAGGGAGGGGATGCTGTGCGTCCTGGCACTCACCTGCAGCAGAACGTAGTAAAACCGAGTCCTTCCCCACACTGGCAGTGGAAGGGGGAATTGCCACAGGCTTCCTCACCGTCTCTCATTCCTCTTGCTGTTGTTGGTTGGGACGTAAGGGGAGAGTCGTCTGTGTCCCTGGCCGGGCAGGAGGAGGGGAAGATGCTTGGCGATGCTGAACATCGTTGTCCCCACGGTGCCCGAGGGAGCAGCGCTTGGGAGGGAGCGGGGGCTGGAACGGGGATGAATCTCACGGTCGGCTTTGTTTGCTGTTGCATCAGTCCAAATGTGAGTGCTGTAAATAGACGAGAAGAGACCGTGACTGAAGCGTCTGCTGGGTGTAGCTGCAATGGCTTTTCTCACTCTTGGAAATGTGAGGCTGCATGGGAGGACAGTTAGCCGTGCAGGGAGGGCTTGGTTCTCTCTAAAGTCTTAGGTGGTTGGGGGTTTTTTGCAGCGAAGTGGTGGTTCCCTTTGTACAACTGTTGTTTCAGAGGGCAGCGCCACAACTCCTGACATTCTCTGCTGCCATCAAACTGCTACACCGGACAGTCTAGTTAAGAGCGTGTGCAGTATTTAAGGACTGTCCGTAAGCGGGAAACAATATTTACATTTTCCCCTGGAATACAGTAAAATACGTCTCAATTAACTGTGGGGACATGGAGGCCCTGCTGTTTGTGTTGGTGCGTGGTCAGTCTTCCAGGAGGGCACAAAACCGGCCTTATGTCAGTCCAGAGAACGAGCCACAGGAGAAGCCTTTGCTCTTAAACGTGAAGGGTTTGGCATTTCACTGTGTGCGCTCCAGAGCAGTTCTGTTGTTCCCACGCGGCTTCACTCCGGCGTGCCGGTGCCAGTCATCACTTACTGTTGCGCAGCTCGGAGATGAAAAGCATTTGATCCTGAAAGCCTTGTGTCGGCCCGAGCCAAGAAACAAGCGTTAATCAGAGATCGTTGGCTGGGAAGCAAAATGGAGAGTTAACCAAACACAGCTCCTTGACTCGACAGTCAGCATCAATTAGCAGAACAAACGGAGCATTTCTCTCCTCTGCTGTCAGCTCGGATTTTTTCCCCGAAGGCTGTTGTCGGAGCTGCTCTGCCCGTGGTGCGGGTAGCTTGGCTTTGCTCTCGAGCTCTGGGTTGGTTATCGGGAGCCAGGCTCCTGTTTCAGACCCCGTGGACCAGCGTGCGTGTGCGTGCACACGGGCACTGGCACAAACCAGTTTCCGTCCCGTATGGAGGGGTTTGACTGTGCCTGAGCAAAGCGGCGCTTTCCAGGTGAACAGATTGCCTGCGAGTGTCAGCTCCCTCTTTCATCTCTGCCTGGTAGCCAAGGCATGAAATGGCACGTTTTCCGCAGAGTTGTTTCCACTGGCGGTGCCGCCTGGGCAAAGCCCCTAATAGCTGCCCGGTGCCGCGGCTGTGCCCGTGTCTCGGTGGCCGTGGGCAGGAGAGGGGCGGCTGGAAGGTGGGAGCACTCGGGGCGAGCGCTCCTGGGTGCCGAGGGGTTTGCTGGCTCGGACTCCGGCCGTGCTGCGCAGAAGCGTGCCCAGGCTGTGCCGGGGGGACGGAGGGACCGGCGCCCTGATGGGAAGGTCCCGGCGGGGGCTGCTGCCCCTCAGCTGTGTGGTCTTGTCGAACGTGGACAAAGATCACCTGGAGCAGCTCCTTGGTGCGAAACGTGCCGCTGTTAAGTGGAGCCCGGGAACGCAGGGCGTCCTCTTGCCTTCCAGAGACTGAAGATAAAGCTGTGGTTTAGGAAGGGGTTGGGTCCGGATTTGGACTTTCCTGTACCTGAGCTCCGAACATCAGGGGTACCGTTACAGGTGATTTGGTCTAAAGCAGCTTCCTCATCTGCAGAAGCCTGAAGGGTTTTCACTGCGTTAGTATGGGGACTAAATCAACTTGTTCCTGTTTAATACAAACAAAGCTGAATGATTATCCTATGTAAGCCAGGAGAATCAGTCTGCATGTTTATGGGGTCCTATATATCAATAACAGATGGTGCCTTCATGCTCACATGCATAAAAGCACAATAAGGAAACAAGAAAATTTAATTTCTGGATGCATATATTGAAAATACTGAATAAGTGCACTGTGGTGCAGCTCCGTTCAGCTTTACAGGCAGGTACATGAAGTAGAAAATCTTTTACGATTCATTAGTCGGCTGAGCTGCCCTGAGTTTGGTGTGCATGTGGGCTACGCCGAGGCAGCGCGGGGGTTTAACCACACAACTCGGTTCGGGGGCCGGGTGTGTGTAAAACAGTTCCCCGCACGAGGCAGCAGGTGAGAGCCTGGGCTGTGGCTGGAACAGCTGGTTAGCAGAAGAGCGCAGACTGGGTGTAGTGGGGTGAGCGTCTGCCGGGCAGCGCGGCGGCTGAGGGTGGAGCGGCGCTGTCGGCGTTTTCACTGGGTGCACGGGGAGGAATGGGGCTCTCCCACAGGGGAGGGTCCGCTCGAGGGGGGAGCCCTGGCATGGCGCAGCAGGGAGGGTCCCCGGAGGGAGCTGGAGCGGGGAGCAGAGCAGGGCAGGTGGGGACAGGGCAGCGAGTCCCTGCCCGTTGGCCCCATTGACCTCCGGAGCCCCCGTGGGGCTGCAGCCCCCCCTTGCTAACGCCGCCTTTGCGGGTGAGCGACCGGGGCTTTGGCCAGCTCGCGCTCGCAGGTGCTTTCACGGCTGGGTTTTACCCCCGTGAGCTTTAGCCTCGGCGGAGCCACGGGTGCCGAGACACAGACCTGCTTTCCATCCGTGCCCCGCACCATCTCTGGTGTGCCGGTGTGTTCGGGAGCAGCGCTTAACAGAAGAGACCCGCAAACGGATTTCTTCCCGTGTTTGCCGACAGCCAACCAAGCCATTTGACGCGCCAGCCAAATCGCTAAAGCAGTTTATTAGCACGTTTCGGGCTCTCGCGTTGCTGTCGGGGACTCGCTTTAGGAAAACCTTATTGAGTCACGGGATGCTTTTTATTCCCCTGCTTTAGCACAGCTAAGCGGGACCTGATTGAATTGTCCAGATGCTGTCTGGAGCCTGCCGAGGAGACGCGAAGATCCTCTTGTCTCGCTGACCCCGAGTCAGCTGGAGTTGGACGTAGTGAAAGCCGAGGGACGGCGAGGTGCAGCGGAGCGCGGCTTCGCCAGCGCGGACAGACGCCTGTCCGTGTGCCGAGGGTGACGCGAAAGCTGCCTGGCGCCCCGAGGGGCCGGCCGTGCCCACCTCGCTGTGCTGCCG